GTCTGAAAGGAATGCTGGCTTAGAAAAAGACAGTGTCTTAATCCTACAAGAATCAAGCACCCAGCAGAGCTAGGTGTTTTACCTTGATCTTTGCTGGGTGCTTGATTCTTGTAGGATTGCGTGACCCTGTGGGTTAGTGTCATGTGATTTTCGCTCACCATAAGGCGGGCCAAAACGACATGGGTTCGAATCCTCGGCTAGTCGCAGTGTTGATATATATATATATATATATATATATATATTATATATATATATTAATATATATATATATATATATATATATATATATATATATATATATATATATATATATATATATATATATATTATATATATATATGCAAGGAATTCGCAAGAGCCTCTCCCTGAAAGCTGGCTGCCTTGGATCAAAGTCTAGCGCAAGCTGGACTCCAAGGTATTGTCCACTGTGGGTAGATTGGTAAAGCACTGCGTACCTTGTTCCAAGGTTCGTAGGTTCGAGTCTCCTTCAGCCAGAGATCAGTATATATATATATATATATATATATATATATATATATATATATATATATACATATATAGGGCAATTATCATATATTTGCTACTAACATACAAGTTTTGATTGTACCGCAAACGTGTTGCATGTAGCAGCCTAGTTCGCAGAACTTGCACAGTACGGATGAATGCATGCTATACTAGCTGCTTCAGTGGCAAAAAAATCTAAATATTTTTAGGTGATGACAGTGGTTTAATAGGCTATAGACAGTGATTTTTTTACGGTGAAAATATTGTACAGAAAATATTCAACTGCTTAAACTATGTTTAGGAATGGGACGATAAAACAACTTTTGCCGAAACCACTGCCACTAAATTTTGGGTCGATACCGATACTATCAAAATTAGCCGATACCGATACTGATACTTTGGCACTCTTAACTATACCTGGAGAGGGTTTCGGGGGTCAACGCCCCCGCGGCTCGGTCTGTGACCAGGCCTCATGGTGGATCAGGGCCTGATCAACCAGGCTGCTGCTGTTGGCCGCACGCAACCCGACGTACGAACCACAGCCCGGCTGGTCAGGTACTGACTTTAGGTGCCTGTCCAGTGCCTTCTTGAAGACAGCCAGGGGTCTATTGGTTATCCCCCCTTATGTATGCTGGAAGGCAGTTGAACAATCTTGAGCCCCTGACACTTATTGTGTTGTCTCTTATCGTGCTAGTGGCACCCCTGCTTTTCATGCGAGGATGTTGCATCGTCTGCCGAGTCTTTTGCAAGTTTGGTACTAATCCCTCTAGGATTTTCCAAGTGTATATAATCATGTATTTCTCTCGCCTGCGTTCTAGGGAGTGCAGGTTGAGGAACTTCAAGTGTTCCCAGTAATTTAGGTGTTTTATCGCAGTTATGTATGCCGTGAAGGTTGTTTGTACATTTTCTAGGTCAACAATTTCACCTGCTCTGAAAGGTACCGTTAATGTGCAGCAGTAATCCAGCCTAGATAGAACAAGCGACCTGAAGAGTGTCATCATGGGCTTGGAATCCCTAGTTTTGAAGGTTCTCATTATCCATCCTGTCATTTTTCTTGCAGATGCGATTTATACACTTATGGTCTTTGAAGGTGAGATCCTCTGACATGATCACTCTCAGGTCTTTTACATTAGTTTTTCGCTCTATTGTGTGGTAGGAATTTGCTTTTTAATCCGATGTAGTTTTAATTTCCTCACGTTTTCCGTATCGGAGTAATTGAAATTTCTCATCATTGAACTTCATATTGTTTTCTGCGGCCCATTTAAAGATTTGGTTGATGTCCGTCTGGAGTCTTGCGGTGTCTTCAATGGAGGACAGTCATGCAAATTCGGGTGTCATCTGCAAAGGAGGACACAATGTTGTGGCTTATATCCCTGTCTGTGTCAGATATGAAGATGAGGAACAGGATGGGAGTACTGTGCCTTGTGGAACACAACTCTTCACCGTAGCTGCCTCAGACTTTATTTACTACTACTTTTTGTGTATGTGTATACTTAAAATCCATCAAACCATCCGAAATATTCGCAGACGAAAAAATTACATAATTTACACCTGGAATATACACTGAAGTAACTCATCACGAGACACCGCAGACTGACCAAAATAATAAGTTGATAAACATAAGAAAGGAGGTACACTACAGCAGGCCTACTGGCCCATACTAGGCAAATCTTTATCAAACCCAAACCCACTAGCAAAAACATTTGCCCAACCCATTTTTCAGTGTTACCCTAGGAATAGGCTCGACAATCCTATTAACTCGTATGCAACTCACTCTCAACTCCAACCCCTCTCACTCATGAATTTATCTAACCTAAACATTAAGGATTCAGGGGTTTTCAACATCCTCCATTCATACGTGAGAGTAATTACCAACAACAGCCCTCCACTTGTCTGACCCTCCAAGCTGTGGTGCCTGTGTTGAACTATGAGCTGCCATCACCAACAACCTGACTGAACAGGTAGTCAAACAGAGCTGGTCCGAAACCAGGCCACAAGGCCGATGATTATTCGCAAGTATTCCAATGTCACTTCAGGGTAAGTTACTGATTGGGTGAAGACAGTGGCTTAACTGGTAAAGCCAATAATATAGAACAATGGCTTAAAGTACGAAGACGATGAATTAATAAGTGAAGACAGTGACTAAATAGGTAAAATTCAGTGAATTAATAGAAGACAATAACTTAATGGTCGAAAACAATGACTAAATTGATGAACGCATTTGTAGAATTTTTTTCTGCCACAATATTTTGTTTATCCTTGTACACTAGGTTAGCCAGGCCAGAAGACCAAAATTGATATGGAAACTATGTTCATTGAATTTTACTCATTGATTCTAACTCACATCCATTTGAAGGCTGCCAGAAATAATGTAGAATTTATTGTTGTGCTTTTGACTCAATTTATCTGGTTCAGTGGATCAAATTAATTTGGAAATTATCAGCTTTCAAAACTTGTAAAAAATTTTTCGTCGTATTAAATATATTTTTAATACTTGTTTAATAATTGAAATATCAGTGGTTCATTACCTTGTATCAGTTACATGAAACGGCAACATCCGATCCTGTGATATCAAATTATTGTTCAACGTTAAACTTTTGGCTTTCGCCTTTATTTAGAAAAAAAAAAAAAAATGACAGCGTATTTTCCTTAAAATAACGATTTATTGCAAAAGTTTATTTATCGTATACTTGTTAGTATTAAATAATGGGTATTGTTTATAAAATAGTGGCACTGTTTATTAAAACTTACGATGACCATTGGTAATCATGCCAAGCACTGATATCGCATGTGATGTAACTTCTTGCAAAAGCTCTCACATGTAAGATAACTTGTTAGAGACAGGTTATATGTAAGACAACATAAAGACAGGTCATATGTAAGACAACATAAAGACAGGTCATATGTAAGACAACATAAAGACAGGTCATATGTAAGACAACATAAAGACAGGTCATATGTAAGACAACATAAAGACAGGTCATATGTAAGACAACATAAAGACAGGTCATATGTAAGACAACATAAAGACAGGTCATATGTAAGACAACATAAAGACAGGTCATATGTAAGACAACATAAAGACAGGTCATATGTAAGACAACATAAAGACAGGTCATATGTAAGACAACATAAAGACAGATCATATGTAAGACGAAGACGGGTTGTAAAACAATTTCTTAAAGACAGGTCATATGTAAGACAAAGGCACAGGTCATATGTAAGATAAAAAAAGGTCATATGTAAGGCAACTTAGACAAAAGTTATATGTAAGAGAACTTCTTAAAGAGGCTGAGGTCACATTCAGTACATATACATGACATAAAAGAAGGGTGTATTCTTGGGTTTAAGATTTTACATTTATATACAAGATGAGATGAGGTTGGAAGCGTGAAAATCCGGAGCATTTAGTTTCCACTGGCTGGCTTAATGTGTCAAGTAGCCTAATTCACCTCACCCTCGCTTTGTTCCCTGCTCCCTCACACTCTTACTTCCTCACTCCTTCTTTCTAACAACCTCCTCTGTCATTCCTTCCTTCTAGCTCTCTCTTACACTGTTCTCCCCTTTCCTTTCTTCACTTTCCTCTCTCTTCTCCTCTCCTCTCACTTGCCTCTGTCTCCGTGCTTCGTTCACTTCCCTCTTTGCTTACTGCCCTTTCCCTCTCTCCTTCCCGTTACTTCCTTCTCCTGCACTACTCTCCCCTCTCTCCCTTCTTCCGTCTCTCCGTCTTATTTTTCCCCCCTGCCTGCTTCATTATGAAGACAAGCTGGTGTCATGCAGGTTTTTCCCCCTCTCCTTCACCCCTCACTTTATCTCTCTCTGTCTATGTCTATCTGTCTGTCTCTCTGTCTGTCTCTGTCTGTCTGTCTGTCTGTCTGTCTCTCTCTGTCTGTCTGTCTGTCTGTCTCTCTCTCTCTCTCTCTCTCTCTCTCTCTCTCTCTCTCTTTCTCTATCTCTCTCTCTCTCTTCTTTATCACCATTCATACGTTTTCCCATTAATATGCCAGTGTTACATACGATATTCCAGAGCTGAAAGCCAACCCACCAAAAAATAATCTTATTGCAAAAGATTACACTCAGGATTCGTAATTTAAATGCATCAAAGCTGGGAATTAAAATATTCAGAGCCCCTAATTCCATACCTTAATGCTTGGATCTCCGATTCATATTTCGACTAATGTCTTTGCTTAGTGAAATAGCGAGAGTGTAATTTCTCGCATGATCTAGGCCAGTGTAAAGGATTTGCCTAATTTACAGCCGGGAGAGAGAGAGATAAAATCTGTTATAATGATGCTTTATGGTGAGTTTAAATTCTCTTACTAAGTACATGAGCCGGAAACTGAGGCCATTTTTGGTATAAAATTTCATGGGGGTCCTTGTTAACGTGTAGTTAGTGTGTGCGTGTGTGTGTGCTCACCTAATTGTGGTTGCAGTGGTCGTGTCATAGCTCCTGGCCTCGCCTCTTCATTGATCGCTACTAGGTCCACTCTCTCCCT